TCTGTAAGCCTTCACCTGAAGTACAATTAAAAAAATAAAAACAAAATAAATTATAATTAAAAAAATAACTTACAATGCTCATCTAGTCTCATTCTTATGTCTGATTTATTTATGAATGCTTTACTAACAAAATTTGATACTGCAACTCATCATCATGATAACAATCACAATTTCATAAACGCCAGATATTTTATTCACTTAATAAGGGCTAAGAAAAGTTCTCATTTATACAGTAATATCTGGATGACTAGCAGTGCTGGGAAAGGAAATAAATAACATTGGGAGTCAGATTAAAGTATTCATTATTGACTAGTTTTGAGCTATGGAAGGCTTTATGTATTATGGACTGTCCTAACCACTTTACCAATTCATTTACTCCACAGGACATCTATGAAAGAAGGTATGATGGAAAATTCTTTGAAAGACACAGCTGCCAGAAAATAACACTAGATGAAAAACAGAAAACTTCAATAACTGTATCTGTTAGAGAAATTAAAATTGTGTTAAAAACTTCCCCACAAAGAAAAGTACAGATCCAGATTCTTTCACTGATAAGAAATAGTTAATACTAACCTTACACAACTCTTTCAAGAATATAGGAAGAGGAATACTTCCAAATTCATTTTAGGAGGTCAGCATAATCTTCGTATCAAAACCTGACAAGGATATTACAAGAAAAGATTATGGACCAATATCCCTCACAAGTATAGGTTCAAAAATTTTAAACAGGCTCTTCCTCATCCTATTCCTCTTCCCTTCTCTTCTCTTTCTGAACAATTCAACCCTAAATCCATTAGATGGAAGACAGCAAAGGGGACATCCATGAGCAAGAGCCTCTGGCATGTGGTATGAGAGCCCCAAGACAAATGATGTCAGTGTAAGCAATGGCTTGTCATGAAGTGTTGGAGCCCACTGCAGAGTGCAAGCAATTTGTTGGGAAGAGGTCATGATATATGTTAAGTCTCTGGAATGTTTTCTCTATGAGTATGGAATAGCATTTGGCTTTAGTAGCTTATGAGCTTTCCAACTTATTTCAAAATAAGAGGAATTGCCAGGAAGTTGTTTTCACTGAATTAATATTAAATTTGATATAAGCTTGCTTCCTACTGTTTCAGAAAAAAGAGGTTGTATGATCATGATATTAAATGCAACTCCAGTTAATATTCCAGTCTTTAAACAGTGATTTATTAAGAACAGATACAAAATTTCCTTCCTGATAATCAGTTGTAGACCTTTGGAAGACCCTATGGAAAGCCTAGCAAATGTGCTATTCCTCACTAGGGCAATCTATGAAATTAAAAACCACAAGGAATGAGAGAGGCACAAACATGGTTTTTCCCAGAATTTAATATTTAAAAAAAAGGGAGAAAATATAAAAATTATCAAAAAATTTTAAAAGGTTATTTTCGGACTAAATGCTAGCACTGCAATTCTTTTCTTATAATTGATTTAAGGTAAAAAGTAGAAATAAAATAGGAAACACAGCAGCTACCGCTGTCCAACATAAAGCCCACCTGCACAAAGGCAGAACAAAGTGAGCTGACCTAAGCAAACATCCATCGACATCATGACCTTAGTAACGAACTTCAAATGGTTTCAGATTCCAAGGTCCAAAAGGAGGATCATCTTGCATTCTTAGATACTACTTCTTCAAGAATCCACTGAATGCCATTCAAAAAACCAGCTAGAGTTTCAGCTTCTGTATCCTGGACCTATGAACAAAGAAGACACAACATTCTCAATAAGAAACTGAATGCAAAACCTTATGATTAATAGACAGATTTTCCTAGACACCAAAAAAACAGGACTAAAAAAAAAATCCCAATAATTCTTAGATAAGTTACACAAGTTTTTTCTTCCACAGAGCATAGATAAAAATATGATCTTCTCTTCTCGTATGTCTTAATTATCACCAATATGAGGCTTATTACTTATCTTAGATTTCAGTTTTAGAAACAGGAGGACCTATCATTTCCATGATTTACTTGCAGGTATTAGGAAAAACAAAAATCCTCCAAATGAACCAATTTAAAAACTAAAGTATCTTTTGATGAACCCAGCTGTTGTTGTTAAGTGCCACTGAGTCACTTCCAACTCATAGTGACAAAATGTACAACAGAAGGAAACATAGCCCAGTCCTGCACCATCCTCATGATCGTTGCTATGACTGAACCCATCTTTGCAGACACTTTGTCAATCCAACTCCTGGAGAGTCTTCCTCTCTTTCGCTAACCCTCTACTGTGCCAAGTATGATGTCCTTCGCCAGGGACTGGTCCCTCCTGATAAGATATTCAAAGTATGTGAGATGAAGTCTTGCCATCCTTGCTTCTGAGGAGCATTCTGGCTGTACTTCTTCCAAGACATATATGTTCGTTCTTCTGGCAGTCCAGGGTATATTCAATATTCTTTGCCAACACCATAATTCAAAAGCATCAATTCTTCCTTGGTCTTCCACATTCATTGTCCAGCTTTCCTATGCATAGGAGGCTAATGAAAATACCATGGCTTGGGTCAGGCACATCTTAGTCCTCAAAGTGACATCTTTGCTTTTGAACACTTTAAAGCGGTCTCTTGCAGCAAATTTGCCCAGTGCAATGCATCTTTTGATTTCTTGACTGCTGCTTCCATGGGCATTGATTGTGGATCCAAGTAAAATGAAATCCTTGACAATTTCAATCTTTTCTCCATTTAGCATGGTGTTGCTTCTTGGTCTAGTTGTGAGGATTTTTGTTTTCTTTACGTTGAGGTGTAATCCATACTGAAGGCTGCAGTCTTTGATCTTCATCAGTAAGTGTGTCAAGTCCTCTTCACTTTCAGCAAGCAAGGCTGTGTCATCTCCCTATCACAGGTTATTAATGAATCTTCCTCCAATCCTGATGCTGTATTCTTCATATAGTCCAGTTTCACAGATTATTTGCTCAACAGACTGGGTAAGCATGGTGAAAGGATACAACCCTGACGCATACCTTTCCTGACTTTAAACCACCTTGTTCTCTTCGAACAACTGCCTCTTGCTCTACATACAGGCTCCTCATGAGCACAATTAAGTGTTCTGGAATTCCACTGCTAACAAGGTTATCCGTAATTTGTTATGATCCACACAGTCGAATGCCTTTGTATGGTTAATAAAACACAGCTAAACATCTTTCCGGTATTCTCTGCTTTCAGTCAAGTTCCATCTGACATAAGCAATGATATCCCTCGTTCCACATCCTCTTCTGAATCTGGCTTCAATTTCTGGCAGTTCCCTGTAGATGTACTGCTGTAACTGCTTTTGAATGATCTTCAGCAAAATTTTACTTGTGTGTGGTATTAATGATATTCTTTGATGATTTCTGAATTCTGTTGGATCACTTTTCTCTGCAATGGGCACAAATATGGATCTCTTCCTGTCAGTTGGCCAGGCAGCTGTCTTCCTAACATCTTGACATAGATGAGTACCTCCAGTGCTGCACCCGTTTGTTGAAACATCTCAACTGGTATTCTGTTAATTCTTGGAGCCTTGTTTTTCATCATCCCCTTCAATGTAGCTTCAACTTCTTCTTTCAGTACCATCGGTTATTGATCATATGCTCCCTCCTGAAATGGATGAATGTTAACCAATTCTTTTTGGTAGTGACCCTGTATATTCTGTCCATCTTCTTCTCATTCTTCCTGAGTCATTTAATATTTTCCCCGTAGAATTCTTCAATACTGCTACTCAAGGCTTGAATTTTTTCCCTCAGTTCTTTCAGCTTGAGAAATGTCAAGCACATTCTTCCCTTTTTGTTTTCTAACTCCAGGTCTTTGCACATTCATTATAAAACTTTACTTTGTCTTCTGGAACTGCCCTTTGAAATTTCTTTGTTCAGCTCTTTTACTTCACCATTTCCTCTGTTCGCTTTAGCTCTACATTCAAGAGCAAGTTTCAGAGTCTCTTCTGACATCCATTTTAGTCTTTTCTTTCTTTCCTGCTTTTAAATGACCTTTTTCTTTCTTCATGTATAATGTCCTTGATGTCATCCCACAACTCCTCTGGTTTTTGGTCATTCGTGTTCAATGCATCAAATCTATTCTTGAGATAGTCTCTAAGTGCAGGTGAAATATTCTCAAAGTCATATTTTGGTTCTTGTGGACTTGCTCTAATTGTCTTCAGCTTCAACTTGATCTTGCATACAAGCAACTGATGGTCTGCTCCACAGTCAGTCCCTGTCCTTGTTCTAACTGATGATATTAAGCTTCTCAATCGTCTCTTCCCACAGATGTAGTCGATTGAATTCCTGTGTATTCCATCTGACGAGGTCCATGTGTACAGTCTTCATTTACGCTGCTGAAAAAAGCTATTTACAATGAAGAGGTCATTTGTCTTGGCAAATTCTGCCATGCGATCTCCGGCGTTGTTTCTATCACCAAGGCCATATTTTCCAACTACTGATCCTTCTTTGTTTCCAACTTTCGCATTCCAATAGCCAGTAATTATCAATGCATCTTGATTGCATGCTTGATCAATTTCAGACTAGAAGTTGGTAAAAATCTTCAATTTCCTCATCTGTGGCATTAGTGCTTGGTGGTAAATTTGAATAGTAGTAGTATTAACTGGTCTTCCTTGTAGATGCATGGATATTATCTTATCACTGACAGCGTTGTACTTCAAGATAGATGTTGAAATATTCTTTTTGACAGTGAATATAACGCCGTTCCTCTTTAATCTGTCATTCCTAGCATAGTAGACCATATGATTGTCTGAGTCAAAATGGCTAATACCAGTCTATTTCAGCTCAGTAATGCCTACGATATCAATCATCAAGCATTCCACTCCATTTTTGACAACTACCAATTTTTCCTAGTTTCATACTTCAAACATTCCATGTTCTGATTATTAATGATGTCTGCAGCTGTTTCTTCTGATTTTGAGTGGTGCCACATCAGTAAATGAAGGTCCCAAAAGCTTGACTCCATCCACGTCATTAAGGCTGACTCTACTTTGAGGAGGCGGCTCTTCCCCAGTTGTACTGTGAGTGCCTTCCAACCTGAGGGGCTCATTTCTGGCAGTATACCAATGTTCCACTGGTACTCTTAAGTTTTTCACTGGCCAATTTTTTCAGAAGTTGACTGCCAGGTACTTCTTCCTAGTCTGTAAGCTCTGCTGGAACCTGTCCACCATGGGTGACCGTGCTGGTATCTGAATACTGGTGGCATAGCTTCCAGCATCATAGCAACATGCAAGCCACCACAGCATGACAAAATGGCAGATGCATGGTGGAACCCAGCTAGTCAGTTGAGAAATGTGACATTATGTTGTAAAAATGCATCTTGAAGACTGTCACTCCTCTTAACGGTCAAGTTAAAAGTCCTACCACTCATAAGGGTATACCTTTATCAGCAGCTTTCCAACTGTGTTCCAAAAAGCTTCTAAGGCTCCATGGAAGAGACGTGGGGAGGAAGGCGAAAATCCTCCAAGTTTTTCAGCCAAAGTATTTTCAATTTTCATTTCCCTTTATCTATTTTACTTGGGGGCTTTCAGGAAAGATTTCACTTTCACTCCATAATTAATATAAAGTTTGAAAGCAATAAACTGTAAGACAGAATCTATATTTTTAATGGCCCTTAAAACATAATACATTAGTGCTAAAAAATCCATGATGCTGGCATCTAAAAAAAAGAAATCCACAACTGCTATTTCACTTTTTTCATAACGAGAGGCAAGTAGAGAGCTGTGATCATCTGAGACTCATTGACACCAATGAACTACCTACCACTCATTAAGCCATTAATACTGATTTTAGAATGCTATTTCGTTAAAGAGATGAGTAAGAAAGAATAAAACCAAATAGAAAATAGAGTGAAAAATAAAATGAAAGAAGATATTTCTCACCAGAGAAGAAAGGACCTTACCATCCATGGGTGGTTTAGAAGATTCAGACGCAGTTCATGGGCCAAATAAAAACAGGGCATTCTTTTCACATTTGCTTGAGAAATACAAGATAAAACCAGCAATGGTCTTCCAGAAGAGCCAAAAGCTGGATCTGTCATTGCCATAATACGAGAAAATTCATCCTGCCATTCATGTCCTAAGGAATGTAAGTCAAAATCCTTAATTTGTGTTTAAAAAGAAAAAAAAAAAATTAACAAGAAAACAAATAAATTACCAGGATCCAAAAATATAAAAATGCCTCTGCTGCTGTGTTCACTTATTGATCATCATAAAATTAAATAGCTTTGTAAGGACAGCATTTTAGATGGAACCAAGACGGGAAAAAAAATCACATTACCACTCAGATGTCTCTATAGCTAAAAAGCAAAAATGTTTTGACACAGGTATTTTCCTTTCTTCCAAAGGCCATACTTCTGAAAGTTTTGTAACAAATCTCAGGGCCACAGTTTGATAGCACTGGAGTTAGGTATGTAGTATCTATTTGCTTCCATTTATAATCTCCAATTTCCTCTCTCTCTATCCCTCTAGTTTTAGGCCCCATATCCTTAATAAGGAGGAATAATGTAATAAATTTTTTATTGTTCTTATAAGGCCTAATAAGTAGCCCAACTCCACAATGATTCATTAAACAAGCATATATTAAGTGCTTGAGACAGGCCTAGAATGGACAATCTGGTCAAAACTCACAGGCACTGGAATCATAGAGACATGTTCAAATCTCCTATCTGTGTTGACTATACCATGTAAATTTAATCTCTCCAAATCCGTTTCCTACAAGTTAGGAATAAGTAAATCTATTCCTAGGTTGTTGTGGGAAATCAAAATTATACATAAATCACCTAGAACAATTCCTAGCAAAGAAAAGGTTCTCAATAAATGGCAGCTATCACTACTTTTATTGTCTAAATCATTATGCTCTGCCACCATCTTGAAACTATCACAATTTTTTTCTTTAATTACTCTATTTTCACTCATTGGTTATTTTGAAGAGTGTTTTAAACTTCCAATAAATGTTTTTATTTTTCTCTTCAGTATTACTGCATAACCTACTTGCTTGCAGGTTAGAAAGTAAAGTCTATATGGTTCCTATTTGAAATTTGTTGAAATTGTCTTCTGGCTTAGTATATGATCAATTTTGTACTGCGTATTCTTTATTGGATGAAAAATTCTGTATTTATGTTTTAGACCGTACTTGTTAATTCTGCAGTTAAAATATTCTTTATCTTAGTCCGTTTTTTTTTAATTGCTGGGCCTAACAATAATCAAGAGAAGTGGTTTTAATTTGCATTTCCCTACTGATTAATGTGGTGAGCATCTTTTCAAATATTTATTTGTCATCTATGTATCTTCTTTAGTGAAGTGTTTGTTCAAATATTTTGCCATATTTTAAATTAGGCTTGTCTTCTAATTTTTGAGTTGTAACAGTTCAGTTCTTTGTATGTTCTGAATACAAGTCCTTTACCAGATAGGTGTTTCACAAATATTTTTTCCCAGCTGGTTACTAGTCCTTTGATTTTCTTAATAGTGACCTCTTGAACAGGTTTTATTTTTGAAGAAGTCCAATTTATCAACTCTTTTATGACTTATGGTTTTCGTGTCTTATCTAAGAAATCTTTGCAAAACCCAAAGTAAGAGAGATTTTTTCCCTATATTTTATTCTAGAAGTTTTGTATGTTCTCTCAATTATATTTATAGCTCATTTCAAGTTAATTTTTATATACATGCGAGGTAAGGGTCGAGCTTTAGTTTTTCTGCATACGGACTTGCAATTGTTCTAGCACTGTTTGTTGACTAGACTATCATTATCCTTTTCCTGTTGAATTATGCTGGCATGTTTGCTGAAAATTAATTGACCAAATATGTGTGGATCTATTTCTGGACTATTCTGTTTGATTATTCTACGTGTCTACTCGTATGGCAATACTACACTGGCTTTATTAATGTAGCTTTACAGTTAGTCCTATAATCAGGTAGTGTGAGTGCTCCAACTTTGTTCTTTTTCAAAAGTTTTAGATATTCTAAGTAACATGTATTTACATATGAATTTTAGAAATACCTTGTCAATCTCTACAAAAAAGGCCTCATGGGATTTTGATCCAAATTATGTTGACTCTACATATAAATCTGACAAGAAATGACACCTTAACAATATTGCGTCTCTTAATCTCTCCACTTATCTTTTTTAATTTCTCATAGCAATGTTTTATAGTACTCAGCATACAAATTTTGCATGTTTATTGAATTTATTCTGAGTATTTCATGTTTTTTGGTATCATTGTTCTTAATGTCACTTTCTGAGAGTGTCATCATCTGGGCCATCTCTGGTTCTGGTTCCACTGACTGCTTCATCTCTTAACAATGGGTCAGTTAATTTTGACTTTTTTTTTTTTTGTCTTATAATTTTTGATTGACTGCTAGACATCTTATATAGAGCAACAGCACAATCTGAGGTAAATAGGATTTACTTCCAGAAATGGGCATGCTTTTCTTCTTCTGTTAGACCATTAATGCACTGGATTGAGTCAAACTAGTCAGTAGTTGAGCTGCATTTGGTTTCTGTTGCTACAGTTAACTTCAGAGAACCAAATTCCTTCACCAGCGGACTGCTGCTACCTTGTTCTGAGAGAAAAGCCTGCAGTGCCAGACATTCTTTCTCAGAGTTTCTGCTCCACCTTCAGCTTTCAGCAGATCTTTGCATGCCTGTGGCATTAGGAGAGGAGAGGGGGTTTCTCTCCACACTTGAGTAAATTTTTGTCTACTTGTTTTACATGGGGATACAGGGGAGCAGACTGAAAAACTAGATAAAAGATGAGTCTATATGTGTTTTAGTTTCCAACTGTATTCTCAGCACGTAATACAATACCTGGCCTTAGCAGGAAGTCAGCAAATATTTGTTAAATAAGTGAATTTATCTTTTATTTTGCTTTTAATTTTTCTTTTTATAGATAGCTCCATAATAACAAAGTAAATTATATTTTTTCTTATGAATAATTTTCTCCAGAGCTTCAGAGTATAGTTGTTTCCATGGCTAACAGATCATAGAGGAAATAAATTCAGTGGAAATTCAAAACAGTGTATCAGATTTATAAAGAACTATAATACACATTATATACATATATATATATATAATCTAGTTATATACTACCTTGTTCACAAAGGATTTAAGGAAGAAATAATAATATCTGATTATGGCCTAACAATACTGTATTTTACGCAAATAACGCATGCCTTCTACATTTGTTTGCCGACTGCGCCTATCCTTTGCGATATATTTCTGTAAGTGCTGCTATGCCAATTTTTTCTACATGTTGCTGTAATTTAAAAAATTAGCATATCACGCTTATGAAAATACCTCGTGGGGGAGGGTGTGGTTGGCAAACAAACGCAGAAGGTGCACATTATTTGCATAAAAATATGGCACTTTGATTTCAAGTGTATATAGCATTGTGAATGGCAATTATTCAGGTTATTTGGAGAGTGTTCTTAACTAATCTATTTAATTAATACAAACATTCCACCCCATATACCTCTCTATTATCTGAGTACTTAAATGTAAAATTTTTCATGGTAAATGCATAAATTATTTTAATAGAGCCAGAAACAGGTAACAACATTAATGCGAAAAGGACAGAAGCACACAACACAAAAATACTACACAGCTATAGTATCAAACTTTAGTATGCATCAGAATTTCCTAGATACAACCCAAGTCCATGAATCACCACCAGGGTAAGAATGAGGTAGCTGTATTCTTAACAAGCTCTTCAGGAAAGCCTGATGTAATACACATCAGTTTTGGGAATTCATTATTAACAGTAATAGTCATAGAATCACAATGATAAAATTAACCATCACATTTTTAAGAAGGCACAGTAAAGATTAAAATTGAAAGACTAAAAAACGTTATTTTCGTATTTGCTTTCCAAAGACTTAATAGTGTTTTCAAAACAAGAGAATGCTTACTTCTATGAGCTTCAGCATTTGCAACATAGATGAACCCATCTACAACTTCACACACTTTCTGAATTTGTGGAATCACACTGTACCGGCTTCCTTGTTGATCATTCCCTTCATTCTGTAGACTGAACATCTTGTTAACTGCACTTGTATGCTCTTCCCTTGCTCTATCTCTTTCCTTTCTACAAGAAAATGCAATTATAAAACATAAACAGATACTAAACAGGTTCTATTCCCCTAAAATCTTCCATTCCTTGTGTCTCAGGTAGTCCACCAAATAGGTAGCCTTACCTGGTAGTTGAATATAATATCAGGATGTTGAATTTATGTTGGTTGCTCAACTGAAAATTGACTCCTGATCCAATACCTAAAGGAGAAAATTACAACAAGAAAACAAGTCATTATTAAACCAAAAGATCAGACTGGAAAGATAATAACCAGTGAAAGCAAAAAGAACAAACAAACCAAACCAAAAAAAAAAAAAAAAAAAAACCCTCTATGTCAAATCATATATAGCTTTGGAATAGAATGCAATATTTAAGATGCTGTGTGCAACTGTCATTCACATGGCAACAAAAATATGAATGATATGGCACTATTATCCAACATGAAACCCAAGCCAAAAATCTGGAGCCATCCTTACTAATACACTGCTAATACACATTCTGTCAATTTTATATCTTAATATTCATTCTATTCTCTCCATTGCCACTAATACTGACTTAGTTCAGATCCTCTTCATATTTTTATCACTATATTATAATAGCTTCTTACTGAGTTTCCATGTCTTTTGCCCCTTCTAATCCTGTCTTCACGCAGTAGCCAATCTTTCTAAAATGCAATCCTGACCATCTCACTCCCATGAGTAAAATCCTTAAATGTCTTCCAAATGCTTATAGCAGTGTCTTCTCACCTGTCCCCACTCTTTCTAGACACAAAGACCTACTTCAAATGTGTCATGCACACCCAGACCTTTGTGCTTTTACAAACGTAGTTCTCACTGTCTAGAATACTTTCACCCTGTCCTTTTTTGATAGCCTACTCCCACTCATTCTAATGACTCAAGTGAGGCATCATCTTCACTGTGAAGCCTTCTCTGATCCTCACCTTTCTACCCAGGAACTAATTACATCATATTCTAATTACCTGTAAACTTGTCTACCTCCTCACCTAGACCAAGCATCTTCAGGGAAGAAAGAGATGCTTCTGTTGTTATTTTAAATCTCTGCATCCCTAGCATCTACTAGATGCTGTCCCTAAATGAATAAAACATAAGCTAGATTGTATTGTTATTTGTATTTTATATCCTGCTTTGTCAACTAACTATACTTTTTTTTCATAAAAGTATGGGGAAGGTGATGATTTAGCTCTTTATTGAAATTCCAATATTTATCAAAGTATTGCACACAGTATATGCTGAATGATTTTTGCTTTCTTTTAAAATATGTAATATAATATCCACTATACAAATACATCCTGAAAAAATATAATTTACTTTCACATAATCTTAAATTCTATATTAGAACTTGAGGAATAAGGAGGTCAAGCTTACCTCTTATAATAAGCAAATTCTTTGAGTCCGGGCAGGGAAGGGGCTCCTATTCACCAAATTACTATATTTCATTACATCAGAGTTAATTAAAAAAGGAATTACTTCCTACTTAACATCAGTGTCAAGCTCAACTGTTTGAATTATTATGTACTGTAAATTAACATGAAAATTACCATCAATCTGCCTCTGAGGCAAACCAGCTGTTGGGCAAAGTTCCTCAGATGACATTAAGCTCAACACCAAAGATGTATTCAATTCTTCCAAACCTGGTCCAAACATAGCAAATCGTGGTTCATTATGAATGATCAGTGAGTGCAAAAAAGAGGTGACAGCTCCATACACAGGACGGCTGGATTTCAAGGATCTTCTTGTATGTGGACAACACATTTTATAGCTGTGTAAAATTGTCACAATTAGAGAATTAACACACACAAAAAATCATACCTGTACATCTGTTCATTCAACGATACAATGTGTTGGGTACCTGCTATCCAAAAGAGATAAAATGATTACATAGTCCCAACCCTCAAGAAGGGCAGTGGAGGATAGATAAACACCATTATAATATGTGCACCAAGAGCCATGACAGTGAAAAGCACAGGGTGCAGGAGTGGGTCCAGAAGCCAAGGAAATCTTCTCCAGGAAGTGGTTACTTACTTTCTAAACTTTCATTTAGATTCCCTCAAGAACACTTGCTTTACACTTGTTTCAATGGTTAATATTCACTCATTGAGCAGTGGTTCTCAAACTGGGGAAATTCTGCCACTCCAGGAAAATGTTTGGCAGTATCTAGACTTTTTGATTGTGATTGTCACAAAGGGGGTAGGGAATATTACTGGCATCTAGTGGGTAGAGGCCAGGTATGCTGTTAAACATCCTACAATGTACAAGATAGCCCCCAAAACAAAGAATTTTCTGGGCGAGACTGAGAAACCCTATACTAAACATACACAGCTTAAATGTCCCTAGAGATAAAAAAAAAAATTAAGGTCACCAATATAACCAAATTTCTTAGGTACTCCTATTAACTGCCTTAAATTTAACAATTCACTGAGTGTTAAATATATAGGGAGGCTCAACTGTTCTTTAAAGATAGCCTAACTAAGAATTATGTGAAAGAAACGACACAGTTTCTTTCATTAGCTATAAATCTCTAAACTAGTAATGTCTACATTCTATCAAAAATTAAAACAAAGTTACTCATATCAAAATAAAACCTGAAGCCCTAAAGCCCTTTAACTAAATCCAAGCCAGTTAAGACAATGATGAACCCAACAAAAAAATCATCTTTATTTAGGAACCTTGTAACCTGGGAAGGAAAAAAGCCAGCTTTGGAGTTAGGTGGACCTGGCCAACCTTCGCCACTTTAAGTTAGTTATGTAAGCCATTCATAGTCTGAATTTCAATTTCTTCATCTGCAATATTAGAGCAATAATAAGCAATCCAGGGTTGTAAGGATTAGAAATAATTTATATGTTCATAAATGGTAGTTATTATGATTAATACTATTCTTGGGACCGGGGTGGGGTGGGGGGGGGGAGGGGAGGGGTGCGTTGGTTCCCAGCATCAGATTACTTAATGCTTTGGTTGGCTGTGGAGCATCATAGAGGTAACACCCAGCAAGTGAGGGTACACTGACACTTATTAGTATATGTAACATCACATGCATTTTAATCAAGTAGTCTCACAAGACTTGATGTAACAGTATATGGATTGGAGTAAGAAAATCCTCTGAATAACTTAAATACGAAAAAAAATTACTATATGTAGCTACTGAATCTAGCAGAGCAAAACAATTCTTACCTAAAACAAAAGTAGTCTTTCAATTTTATTTGCAATGCCTTAACTTTGGGGCTGTCAACAAAGCAGGTTATATCCAGATTCAATGACATGATACATCTTTGAGGTAGCAAGGTGGGGTTCCAATCTGAAAGTCCTTTATAAACTATATGACCTTATGCAAATTAAGTGATCTCTCTGAATCTCAACTCCACGTCTGTAAAACAAGGATAATACCTCCTTGTTGCATGAGGACTGGGTGAACAAACTTAAGGCATCCTACATAGAACCTCATACGGTGTGTGTGCTCAGTAAAATTAATTGTCTCACCTCTATGAGATTTCCAAATATCAATGCCTCTGGGTGATAATAAAATTTTATTTCCCAGAGCCTTGAGAACAGGTTTTCTTCCCTGCCAAAAAACTGCCCTCTGACCTCTGGCCAGTCTTTCTCTGGATACAGAAAAGTATTTGCTATTTATATTTAGCAAAATGACAAATGTTCTAAAAATAAGAAAAATTTACTTCTTTCCATCAGTGATGTCTATAATAATTCAAATAACCTGGCTAGGAACCACAGGGAAATAACAACACGTCAAAACTGAAAGGGTCTTATGAAGAAAGTCATTTAAATTAAACCCCAATTATTATAAGAGGACACTTAAAGACCCCAAATCCATGGAACAAATTAGCTGCAGTGCCAGGACTAACTTAAACTATTGACTTGTAAAACATTAAAATTTCTTTTCAATTCATAAAACTAGATACTTACACTGCCATATAGTCAAAAAATGCACTATCAGTGACTTCAGATATGGGGTTTTTTAAGATTTCTAGATCAGGAAGAGACTTCCAGTCAACAGAAGACCAAGAAGGAAGATCCCGCAACAGAAAATATCTCCAAAGAATTGGATCTCGGACAGTCTCGTTCCAATAACGATTTGTACTTCCCAACTGACAAAGATCATGGGGTGAAAGAAATGACAAAATATACAGCTGTACATCAATCTGAAACAGAAAAAAGAGAGCAGGTAGGAAAAAGGGATGAATAATTTACCATGGGAAATTGTTTTTTGATGATAAATCACAAAATTAACAAATAATTATATTATACTAGGTAACCAAAGGTCAACTAAGTGGTCTGTATTTTTAATAATTAAATTTATTATTTTGAAGTTATTTTCCTATCAGGAGAGAATAACTGAAGACTCAATTTCTAACACACTGAAACGTTTCTGAAATATCAACCACTGACCTGTTATTTTTCAAGCAAAATAACCAGTTCCTTTAAATTCTCCCCATGGGTATTTTAAACGAACCACTTACTATTCTTCAAAATAAAACCTTTATCAACTGGGCGAACTTCTGATTTTATCACTAGATCAAATCAAGTTAAAGAATGGAAGTTTGTCCTCTGAGTTCCTCTACATAATCTATTAAATTTTTGCAAAGAACTCCTGCAAAGGGGAGGACCTGGAGGCATTCTAAGCCTGCATTTTTCAGCAGTAGTAAGACCTCAGGAGTAACGCGTCAATAGTCCAGTTGAGTTACAGAATTTTAATAATTTCTAAGAATTTGTTCTCTCACCATCTTCCCATCTACCTGAAAAGTCTAACAATAAATGATGTGTAAATCTGTGTGGCCTGTCAAAACTTGAGATATTTGTTACTTCATTAATTTTCAATTAAGTAGAAGTTCTGTTACTTCAAATATAAGCCAAAAACCAAACCCACTGCCGTCCAGTGGATTCCGACTCATAGCGACCCTGTAAGACAGAGAAGAACTGCCCGACAAGGTTTCCAAGCCCTGGTAGTGCCTTGGTTAAGAGTCATGACTGCTAACCAGTTCAAATCCACCAGCTACTCTTTGAAAACTCTACGGGACGGTTCTACTCTGTCCTCTAGGATCGCTGAGTCTGGACGGCAACAAAATTTACAGAAGCGGACCGCAACATCCTTCTCCCTGTGAGCGGCTGCTGGGTTTCCGGGTCACTGCGTCACCAGTGTTCTGTAATAGTTGTATGTCTGAAAAAACAATGTACTTCATAGAGTGTTTTTCGTGTTTTGATACTAAGTAGTCTGCCATTAAAGATGCTGAGCACACAGAAGCTGGATGCTTTTCCAAGCTAACCAGAAAGCCTGGATGGATTTCTTAACCTGACAACAGGATGGTCCTAGTCCCATGTGCCTGTTCTGGGAGGCTGAAACCTGAAGGTGGTCTGGCTGTTCATGATGGCGCCCCCCGAAGGTCAGTTTCACTGCGGCGTAAAGCCCGGGTACAGAGCACCAGAAGGTCAGCGCCAATGAGTTTCTGGTCAACTGGTGCTTCCATGTGACGACACTGCGCGTAATGGCTGGAAGGACAGGGCTAGCCACAGCCTTCCCCGGCGGGGGCGCCCTCCCCGTCCGGAGGCCGACGCTCACCGGCAGCCGAGTCAGGGTACTGGCCTCCTCAACCGCCTCCTCCCGGGAGGCTGCCGGAGCCGCGCTCTCTTTGCCCACCGACTGCCAGAAGGTTCTCCAGCCGCTGAGGATGGCCGCCTCCAGGCGACTCCAATCGCTGTAGGGCGTCGGCGCGGAGCTGCCTCCGCTGCGCAGCTCGCTTCCCGCCATGGCTGCCGCGCCACGCGTGACGCGCCGTAGGCCTGCGCCGGCGTGTCCTCCTCCCGGGATCCCCTCCGGCCTCCCCTCCGACCACCCCTCCCGCTCCTCCGCCTCCCCCGCCTGCCGCGCGAGGCCAACTCCGGGCGGACGCCCAGCCCAACTGGGCGTGGTTCGGAGCCAAGCTGGAAGCTCCGGTCAATAGCCCCTCCCCATTTACTTCTGGCAGTAACCTCGGCCACGCTAACCTGAGTCATTGCTATAAAATCTCCTGCTCCATTATAACTTCCTGACTTCACCCAAGCTGTTCCCTCTGTCTAGGACCCATTTCCACTTCGCCTACTCATTCAGTATGTGGCCCTCTTCTACTGCCTCAAAGCCCTGGTGGCACAGTGGTTAAGAGCTACCGCTGCTAACCAAAAGGTCAGCAGTTGAAATCCACCAGCTGCTCCTCGGAAACCCTTTGTGGCAGTTCTACTCTGTCATACAGGGTCGCTATGAGTCGGGATCAGCGCAACGGGTTTGGTTTGGTTTTCCGCTGTCTTGGACTTACCAGTTGCTTCCTTCTACCATACAAAGTTTTTGTTCTTTTTTTTAAATTTTTTTCAATGTCTCATTTACCGTTTGTTTTCTAGGTGATTCGTTAAAAATGGAGACTAGAGAGACTGTCAGGAGCCCAATCATAAAGCACCTTATGCTACAGTGAGGAGTCTGGGTCCACCGTAAAAAAATACGAGTGCATTTAAAAAAATGCTGAACGAATGGATTGGATACCATAAAAGGGCAGCTAAATATGATTACCATAAGAAGAAAACCCAGGTGTGGTATTGTTGAAATTCGACTAGCGGGTTTTTATCTCTTTAAAGTCCATCCTACTCACTTTGTCCTGCCTTTCCTTAAAAGGGCGTTAAGAAATATATGATCCTTTAACAAGGTAATTTATTATATGGAATTGGGTATGGTCTCTATAGATAGGAAGGACAGAGATACTTATTTAGTGCTAGTGTTAGTCATTTTCAAGTAAGATTACCGCACTTACTCTAATCCAAACAACACTGATCCAAAACTAGATATCTCTTCTTAAAGGAATATTTCACTTTAATGAAATATTAAATATAACAAAATTTAAAATAAATCTTGAATTACCCAACAAAGGGCAAGATGTATTGTCTGTTGTTTCATACAATAAGAAAATTACACATTAATCAAAATAATCTAGTGGTGTTAAAATTCCAGTCTTGGAATAATAATTCCATTATTATTAACATAATAGATCTCTTCATAATCTGGCTTAGTTTTCAAACCAGTAAGTGCTTGTACTATCCAGGATATGCAATTATCCATTCTCTTTGTGAAGATCTTGTTTCCAGGTGGAAACCCCAGGTTCCGCCAAGAGAACGAAGTGGGAGAGTAGAAAGGTGCCTTTATTTTGTTGCTAAAGGAAGGAACAGTCCGGGCTGTTTCCACAAAGACTGCTCAGGAAGGGTGAGGGGAAAAGTGACTTTTAAGGGGTTTACAAGTAGGAAGTTTATACAAGTTACATCAACAACATTCTTAATCATACTACGCAGGCACGATGGGGTTTACATATAACTTCATGCATCACATGTGCAGAAAATGGCGGTTAAACTCCACCTAGAGGCAGTAAAGTTACTATGTATGAGGTATTTAATGAGCTAAAAGGTTATCCTGAATGTCAACATGGCGCCTAAACCAGTTTCCGCCAATTTCCTGTAGTTTTGGGCAGCAGTTAAGGAGAGGGAACCAGGATTTTGATGTAAAGCTACAGGGCATGTCAAGCAAAGGAACTAGGATTGTAATGTAAAGCTATGGGACATGCCAAGCAAAGGAACCAGGATTCTAATGTAAAGCTATGGGGTCTGCCAAGCAAGCTGCTTGATGCAGTGGAATTTTCCACAGCCTGGGGACTTCTGTCTTAATGAGGCCGACAGCACGCCCACCATCTTAAATAAGCAAGGGGCGGTGCCTGCCATTCCTATGCGGTATGAAAACTCCTTGCATGTAAGCTATCTCTTTATTAGGTAATATAGGAACTAACCCCGTCTTTAACATATCTCTTTATTTAGGTATACTTCGGTTCCAGCTCAGAAAAACAAAAGACTGGGGTCTCAGGACCAGTCAAAACTGATCTGGAACCAGTTTCGGCCCGCCTAACATGCACAGTACCAACAACCGTGTCCCTTGGATGAACTATTTATGTCAGAGGTGGAAAAACACACCCCCGTCTACGCCCCGGACCTGGGCAAAACACCAGCTTTGTGGCCCCCCCCCCCCTTAGACTGAGCAGGCGCAGAAGATTGGACCACCCCAGGAATGCATTTATGGGCCAAACCAATCAGCAGGCTGACTCCACCTGAAGCCCCAAGGCCCAAATTTCCTTTACCCATATAAACCCTTCGGGCCATTGTTCAGGGAGCCACCTTGGCGACACAAGTCCAGGTGGGCTCCTTTACTCGGCCAGCTAAATAAAGATTCTTCTTCCACTTTCACCGCTTCGTGTCTTTCTAGCCGCGCTGAGCAAACCTGGAAGCGTTTGGTTACATTAATATCCAAATATGGAAATCATAGATTTCTCTGTCCACCATTGTTTTATTATTTTAACTGCCAAAACATTCTCTCATATCTAACCTAAATAAGCTGTTAAAAAAATAATTCCATTTTACCTTTATATTCTTCAAAATAGGAGACAGGGTCAGCATCATAAAATTATTAAAGTCTTTGACAGACTATGATAGGCTACAGGTACATTAAAAAAAAAAAAGTGGCCATCTGGTCTATTCCAACTCATAGCGACCCTATAGGACAGAGTAGAATTGCCCCATAGGGTTTCCAAGAAGTGGCTGGTGGATTCGAACTGCTGACCTTTCTGGTTAGCAGTGGAGCCCGATAACCACTGCACCACCAGGGAACATATAAGTATTTAAATACATATAATGTGCATATAAATATTTAAATACACACATGTATCAGTAAACCAGAAGTCACTGAGTTGACCATTCAACTCATGGCGACCCCTAGTGTGTTAAAGTAGAACTGTACTCCACAGGGTTTTCAATGGCTGATTTTTTGGAAGTAGACTGCCAGGGCTTTCTTCTGAGCGGATTCTAGATGAATGCAAACCTCCAACTTTTTGGTTAGCAGTCATGAGCATTAACTGTTTGCATCATTCAGGAACTCCTAAATTTATCAGCATAGCACATGCAGAGTGTTTAATGCTGAATGATTATTATCTTAGGGTATAAATATCAAATAACAAAAATCCAACAAAGCCTGGTAGCTGAGGATCTATGAGATTGGAATTTTAAGTTTTACTATTTGTTCTGCATGCCACTGCTGGGCGCCACTAACCCATCCATTTGCAAGCTCAGCTCTGTGAAGCTGTTTGGTTCAGAAAAAGAACCATAAATTGGTTAACATATGGCATTTTTCTTCCCTATCTAGGAAGTGATTTGCTTTCAGAGCAAAAAAGAACCAGCACACAAAGAGAAGAAAAACAAAAAAATCAGTTCAAGTATGAAGGACCGTAATGACTCTTAGTTCTCTCACAAAGAAATCTTGAATATGTGTTAATGAATTAGAAAAAATGTCTTTACTATGAAAATTTTTGTATACAGAAGAGTGAATAATATAATGAACCCCCATGTACCAATTATCTAACACTCAACAGTTACCAACTCATGGCCAATCTTGTTCTGTTTATATCTTGCCTACCACAACTACCGCAATTCTGGATTATTTGGAAGCAAATCCCAGATACATTATTTCATCCCTAGATATTTCAGTAAGTACCTCTAAAAGAAAAGGTATCTTTTAAGGAATATAATCACTGTATCATTATCACACCTAAAAAGCTTAGTAATTCTTTAAAATCACTATATATCAAATCAGTGTTTAATTTCTCCCTTCTTCCCCCATATTTTATTCACATTTGTTTTTGTTTGAATCATGAGCCAGACAAGGTCCACATATTGCAATTGTTTGACATCTCTTAAAATTCTTTCATTTTCCTTTACACTTTATTAAAGAAACTAAGATACTGGTTCTAGTTTCCCCAGTTCTGTACGTTTCTGATGGCATCCTCTTGATGTCTTTAGCACGTTCCTCTATCCTAGGCTTGATCAAATTCAGGTTTCTTTTATAAAATATTTCATAAGTGGTATTGTGTACTTCGATTACGAACCATAAGTCTCTTTTTTTCCAACGTCCAGATTGATCAATGGCGTCAGTGGTCTATTCCATTCGTTATCAAATGTCCCATCACCTTTTCACCCCAAGGATTTAGCAGTCATAATGAGTACTTACTTTGTTGTTGTTGTTAGTTGCTGTCAAGTCATCTCTGTCTCCTGGTGACCTTATGCATTAACAGAACAATACATTGCCCAGCCCTGTGCTATCTTTATGATCCTCTAACCTGGGAGGCTCATCTTCCAAGACTGTATCGAACAATATTCTGTTGTGATCCGTAAGGTTTTCACTGGTTAATTTTCAGAAGTAGATTGCCAGGCCAGTCTTCCTAGTCTCTTAATCTGAAGGCTCCACTGAAACCTGTCCACCATGCGTGACCCTGCCGGTATTTGAAATACTGGTGGCATAATTTCCAGCATCATAGCAACACACAAACCACCACAAGTATGACAAACCGAGAACAACTTTTCTTCATCAACCATTTGATTGTCCTGCCTAGATCTGAAACCAGCCACATCTCTAGGAAGACCTGGTTCATTTTAATCAGAAATAGTATTTGGTCATTATTTCTAGGCCTCTTTAGTGGCCTTTATATAAAAAGAAAATATGAGTTCAGAGTGGTAGTTCCCATTCAAATGTAGGTTAACAGAATTTCTACTTCTTTGATTTCATATTTGCTTCTTTTCTCTTGCACTCAAAGTTCTTGTTCCTAATCATACTAACAGTTATTAACAATATTACTACTGAGGAGTTTAAGATTTCTCAGTTCTTTTTGCCCTTGGAAATATCCCACTAGAGATGTTAAAATCACTGTAAAAACATTCCTGTGTATTTAATCCATCAGCTTGATACACAATGCAGCTAATTTGTTTCGTTTTTGATTTGTAGGGGTTGCTATTCATTTAAATTTTGCTTTACTCTTGTTTTATATGTACACATTTCCAAAGTCAAAATTCAGGGAACATTCAGAGAAGTCTAGCTTCCATCCTGGTCCCCCCTCTCCATTTTTCTCTCATAGGTAACCATTTTTTAAGTTTTTGGAAACCCTATGGGGCAGTTCTACTCAGCCCTATAGTGTCGCTATGAGTTCAAATCAACTGGACAGCACACAACATACTATACATGGGACACTGGTGGTTCAGTGGTAGAATTCTCAACTTCCATACAGCAGACCCGGGTTTGATTCTCGGCCAATGCACCTCATGCATAGCCACCATTTGTCTATCAGTGGAGGCATGCATGTTACTCAAACAGGTTTCAGTGGAGCTTCCAGACTAAGATGGACTAAGAAGAAAGGACTGAAAATCTGCTTCCAAAAATTGGCCAGCAAAAACCTTACTGATCACAAGGGTCTGATCCACAACTGATCACAGGGATGGTGCAGAACTGGGCAGCATTGCATTCCATTATACACGCGGTCAGAGGCCGACTCCATGGCAGCTAACAATGTACTATACACCTTCTCCACATTTTCACTGAACAGTATCATCATTCCATATATATATTCCTCATTGCTGTTTACAGCTACATACTACTCAATTTTTAAATAGGATTATGTATAATATTTATAATATTTAGCTGACTAATCAATCATTAAATGCCTCTGACTTGAGTTAAAAATGAGACCAAAAGGTACTAGAAGCCAAGTCAGTCAAGCCAACTGGAAAATGGAGAAGTTGGTATACAGTGGATACAAATATATATATACACACACACGCATATATATGCATGCGTATATATATATACACACACACCTATTTTTACATATATATATATATATATATATATATATATATGGCTAAACAACTTTTGAAAATTAGTTGTAGGCTTTCATCTGATCACACCTATAAAAAACATTTGAGGTGTCTAGCTAGCCCATGATTTCTTCTCCGAAATCTGCTTCCCATATAGAATGGCAAGCACCACTTGAAGAAAGGGCAGTGAATGAGTGCGTACTGGCTGGAACAAGAGTTTGTCACACAACTGTTCTGGCTGATGAGGGTTATATTAGTCAGCATGCTGAATGAAGTACGCCCATATGCAGAGGTGACATTAAGTTAAATAATAACTGTTATAGCTCTTTTGAGCTCTTACCATGTGCTAGGTAGTGAACTATAAGCACTTTGAACAATAACTCATTTAATCTTCAATAATCTGTGAGGTAGGCACTATTACTGTTCCCATGTTAAATAAAAGAATATTAAATTGCAGGCTGGCATTTGAACTCAGGTCTTCTGGCTCCAGAGCCTACCCTGTCTGAAAGTTTTTAGGACCAGAAGAAATAATATTCAGAAGTTAGAATAGTAAACTGAGATGATAAAAGCTTTCATTCTGACGCAACACTCAAATATAAAAGAAAGCAAAAAACAAGAAACAAATATGGGAATGTGGTTTTATTTAAAAAAAAAAGTATATGCTTCAAAACATTTTACTTGAAAAATTTAATGAGAAATATCAATACCAGCATGAATATATAGTATATACATTAACTGCAGATACATTAATATATTTTAATACAATACTTTCATAACATATCATCTCATACTGTGTTAATACAAGAGATACTGGAGAACTACAGAATCCTGGCATCTATGGTAGATGGGGTATCCTTACTGGAGTCAGAAAAGGAACACAGGAAGGTGGAAAGACAGAAGTGACAAGCAATCTAAAACTACTGTGTCAAGCTGTAGGTTTTTTTAATGCCATTAAAATGAATCTGGGAGTGCCTTTAGACACAGTTTACACCTTAATGAACATCAGAGAATTTACAGCGTGATTGCAAAGCTAAGAATGTAATTTTATTGTGAGTTTAATAGGTATGATTCTCACCTCACTCTACTGTATGCAAAGGAATAAAGACAAGCTTTTAGTCAAGGTTTGTATCTTAATAAGCATCAAACAATTCACAGTACCCAGAAACCCCATAAATGGAGTAAAGCAGACAGGACTTTGAGTCTTAAAGCCTATTCAACATCAAAAAATTCATACCGGGAAAGAACCATACAGATTTAAGG